TTGGTTAAAGGTAGAGACCTCATGTTACGTTACTCACATCACATATTTTATATGTGTCTATGTCCGATCCAAGGCATGCGTGAGGTGTTAGCGTATTCCATATTGGTTGATGGTAGTGAACAATTATTGTCTTCTTGTATAATCTAGGACAATCCTCGCCGCGTGAGTTAAGCTTTGAGTTAGGCATGAGATTTATTTTTGGGAAAAAGGCCATTATTGCCCCTGTACTATTGGCATTTAAGCACGTCTCTCCCTCGTAATACTATACATTCAATCCCCACCCTACTGTTAACAAAGTAAGCAAAAATACCCCTAACCCTAACGCCTCATCGATGTGGCAGCTGAGCCCCTCTCTTTTTTCCAAGTCAGCTGCCAACTCAGACTTCCACTAACCATTAATCCCAAACCCAAGACCAAATCAGATAATCCTTAAATTTATCTTGTGTTATTTTTTATTTTTAAGATAAAGGGAATTTCGTGGGTCCTACTTAATTTTAAACTTTTTAACTCTTTCTCTTTCTTCTCCTTTTCTCCTCTGTTTCCGGCGTTATCATCTTCTTCGTCGAAATCAACTTTGATTTCTATAGCAAATTCAGATCCTTTTGGTTTTATCATTCTATAAAGGTGAGAGAAAAACGTGGGTGTATCTAGAATTAATCATTATTTTTTGCTGTGAAGATAAATTGACAAAGATTCTGAAAGAAAAAAATGAAGTTTACTTAGACATCGAGTTCCTCGGCGTTTTCACTATGTCAACTTCAAAATCTGAGCTTCATAGAATATTTGGAGGTTTTCTGTGTGATTTGAAGCTGGAATTGAGGGGCTAAGTTGTTCCTAATGCTTGGTTGCTGTTGGGAAACGAATCGGAGAAAGAAAAAAACCACCATTATTGAGCAGCTTTTAAGTATTGAAGTGGGTTTGAATTGAACTCCAATATTTGTATTTGAAATCAGTTGTGTGTTGTTAAGTATACTTGGTATTTAGTAGAAGAACTTATTTTTAAAGTTTGAGAGCATTTGAACTGGTTTGGTTCGGATTGAATCGAGTTGTGGAGCTGAAAATTGAGGAGAAGTGAGGGATCTTTAAAGTTAGGGTTGATAATTTGCCCAGTTGGCGTTAGAGAAGCAGAAGAACTGATGTTGAAAAAAGAAGAAAGAGAAAAGTAAAAGAAAAAAGGAAAAAGGAATTAAAATAATTTTTTGGGTAGTGAATTTACAAAAATGCTGACATGTATTATTACGTGGCAATTTATTTGAGGGTCCTGGGTACCACAGTGTCAAAACGTTAGGGTTAGGGGTATTTTTGCTTACTTTGTTAACGGTAGGATGGGGATTGAACGTATAGTATAACGAGGGAGAAACGTGCTTAAATGCCAATAGTACAGGGGCAATAATGGTCTTTTTCCCTTTACTTTTTCAAGCAACAATTCACCAACATGCACAACTGGACCATGAGGCGACATGGTCCTTTAAGCTAACAAATAAATAATTAGATACTAAACAAATAAATAAGGTCGAGGTGACACAGAAAGAGGCGAAATCAAGATTTGAAGTTTATGAGTTCTAAATTTGTTACGAAACTCATAACTCGTTTTAATTATTGTATTCACGCTTAAATGTTTATACATATTTAATGACATTTCGAGTACAAATATAGTGTTTAAGCAAAAGTAACTGGGTTCAGCCGAACCAGCACCTTATAGGCTAGCTCCGTCTCTAGACACAGACCTCTCCTTTATCGTTGTTCAATGTCGTGGGCTCCACATTTTTTAAAGTACTTTTAGCTGTTTGAGGTATATAAAGTTAACGGAAAAGGGCCAAAAATATCCTAAAACTATTAGAAATAGATCAATAATACCCTCCGTTTATCTTTTGGCCCAAAAAAGTTCTTACCGTTAATCAATTGGAGCAAAAATGCCCTTCCCAACTAACGGAGCACCAAGTCAGACAGCCTCAAAAACCAGAACCTTTCAACCACCTGATTCTTCCTTGAACAACTCTAACACCACATAAATTTATGCTCCGAGTGTGTCGAAAGCATTGGATTCGATTGAATCCGATAGTTCTATGGTGCATCCGCCCCTAACGTCAGCCCTCTGCCACTGATTCACCTGCACATTGGGTCATCTACTACACCCAGCCTTAAATCAACAGGAAAAAAAAAGATCTTGATTGCAAAAGATGCCCAAACTGAAATCCTCAACAAAAATCTTTCCCCTTTCATCCTTTTCTGGTGACAACTTCCAATAGAGGGTGTGAAAGAGAAATGCTCCCGGGCAGCGGTGATATCTCTGCTCCCTTCAAAATAATTTTAGTCAATGAAGATGGTGAGAGTTGGTCTCACAAATGATGGAGAATCGAAATTTTTGGGAGTAGTCTTGGTCCTCGAAAAATATGGGAGGTACCTGATTCTTTTCCTTTTTATGGTGATTGGTGAAGGTGGTAAATTTTGGACGGCATGATTAAGAAGAACAAGGATGGAGGCATGGTGGATTTTTTGCTGGTTTTGCTATAGGTTTAGATAATGAATATAATATTTGAATAAGAAACTAAAAAAAAATCTACAGCCGTTTATTTAGTGGACCTTCAAAGCTTTTAGTAGCTTCAATGGCAGTCACTAGCAATGGTTTAATTTTTGAAAACCGACGAGCATGATAAAAGAATGAAGAGTCCATCCACACTGGAGTTCCATATCAGCAATATTATAACATTTTAATTTTGGTTTCATCTGACGTGGTGCTCCGTTAGTTGGGAAGGACATTTTTGCTCCAATTGATTAACGGCAAGGGCTTTTTTGGGCCAAAAGGTAAATGTAGGGCATTATTGATCTATTTCTAATAGTTCAAGGCATTTTTGGCCCTTTTCCGTAAAGTTAATTGGTTGCAAATTTTTCAGGATATTTAGAGTCCCTTTGGCCATAAAAAAATCTTATTATTTTTTCAAAATTAATGTTTGACCATGAAAATTTTAAATTTTCACTTCAAGTTGAATTTCGAAATTTTTCGGAATTTAAAAAACTCCAAAAAAGATATTTTTTAAAATTTTCGCTTCAAAGCACTCACAAAAGTTCAAAAACAGCTCCAAATTATATTCATACTCAAACACAACTCTAATTTTCAACGTGAAATTCTTTTCCACTTTTCCCGGAAATTTCACAATTCTTCTGTCCAAACGCCCACTTAAACGTCTTTAAGGTATTGAATTATTTCATTTTCATTACCTTATGATTTGGGTTAAATTTGCAAATTCTTTTGCATAAAATTGGAGCCACATTGTGGTAATCTGGTTCTCATACTCGCAAGTCGCCGTGCTACTATCACAGAAGTGGTAGTCGTAATCGACTCCCAAAATGCCAAAAGGCTCGGCATCAATTTAAACACATAATTCAGCTTCCAATCATTTTAGTGCAATGATTGATGATAAGATAAAGACGTGATATCAGACATCCAAATTTGATATAATTATCCTAAGAACAACAGCTATTAGTTAAAATGATGCATGCTTTCTCTTTTTATTTAAGCTTTTAAATATTTTATGCATGTGAATAACCATTGAACTATAAAACAACCACTAAATGATGGATTTAACCTGTTATTCAAAAATTATTTTGGAGTTGAGCAATATGGATCATCGTTCTCCTACGATGTTAAAGTAGTTCGAATATATATATAAATGCCCATCTATGGGACCAGCATCCCCATTCCAACCTATTGATAATAACAATTTGCAAAGACTACAGTACTTAAGAATGGACCTGTTCATTTGGTTTGTCCTTTGGTAGCTATTCTACAGTTAATGAGTTTTCAACTGAGTATATACAAGGACGTCCTCATATTCTAGACATGAATGATCACCAAATTATGTGTACCTACAAAAATTTAACACCTCTGGTAGCAAGAACCAAATTAAACTTCTCCAATCATCTTCTCACTGCCCTAAAAGTACCTCCAGTAAGTAAACTCTATATATTGGTATAAGAAATCGAAATAGGAATAAAGACATTAGGTACGTAATGTTCATGGAAGAACGGCGTTTTCATAATCCTCAAGACTCAAATTTGATCAGTATCTAGGTTTACGTATCATTATGAATCAATTATTAAATACAGTTATGCTAATAGGGAAAAATACACAAGTCTGATCAAGTGACTAGCAGCATCAGTTGTATGTCCCACGCATCGTTACACTAATTCACACTTGTAATGGATGCGGGAAATCTTTAGTGTCTAAACAAATCATATCTGTTCTTTATACTGTTACTTGCGTCCAAGATTTTTCAAATGAGCATTTTCATTCTTTAGTGTCTAGTGATTTTTCAGACTGATGGAAAGAAAACGAGCATTTTGATTCTTTTCACATGATGGTCTGGTATTAAATGGATGTCATTATCAGTATAAATTGTTCGACGAAGCTCATTGCAGCAACAGAGCGAATTCTGATTTCTCTTGACGTGATTACTAAAAATTGCTATGCTTCTAGTGATAATTAACTTATTAGCGGCATCTGTTATGTTTTCCATCAAAAAGCAACAAGAGCGCGCATAAAAGGTTTGTGACAACCCCAGATCTGCACTAGAAAAGTCTATCATGGAGGCGCAATTCTGCTCTAAATTCTCTAATGTTGAGTATCTCTTTTTTTTCTAACCTTACATTTTTCTTTTTTTGATTTGGTCCGAGTATCTAAGAGCCCCGACTAATCCCGGGGGTGCACAGGCCCTCGGCAAGGAGTTTCTCCCGCAAGTGCACCACGGTTAATTCAGGTTTTACCCAGTCCGATGGCCCTCAGAAATTGTTTGCACCCAGCGGGTTTCGAACTTGAGACCTTGAAAGGGAGCAAACCCCAAGGCTCAAGTCTATTGCCACCAGGTATTCTCTATTCTCTAACCTTACATTTTAATTTAACTTTTCTTGTTTATCTTCATTCTTCTCCTAAAGAAGAAAAAGAACCATGTAGTTGAACGTTGGACATGATAGGCAGATCTGTTCTTCCTTTGAACACATGATAGGCAGATCTGTTCTTTCTTTCTTTGAGAAATAAATACAAATCATCTGGAAGCCACAAATCAAGCTAGCTGAAGAGTTTCATAATCTTATAACAGTATATTTTAAAGAAAGAACTATTCAATGAATCCCTCAACTATAACAAGATACAGTCCCCTTTTCCACAGACATAATAAGCCCCATTCCAATAAGCAATTTCAGCAGCACCCCTACCTCATTACCATCTGAACTTCTTTGCCTGCAAAGATTAACAGTTTCATTCATATCAGCAGAATAGTAGAACGTGGAAAAAATGCAGAGCGTCTCCGAAAGGCTTTCTTCACGAAGAAGAGCACTAAAATATTATACCTCAGCTCAACATACTTGTACGCATTATTACTTCTTCTCTTCTTTTTGTTCCTTGTCCGTGTCCTCGTCCTTCTTCTGTAAGGACAAATTATATCATCGTTAAATTACAATTAAAAATGAACAGAAAACATGCTATGTTGGTAAAAAATGAGCAGTATCCCTGGCTTCTTCCATTCCATTAGAAAGATTATCTGACCATTCACGAAAAGCAGAAAGGCATTTGGATCAAGGAACATGAAACGAAGGGAAAGGAAAGAAAGCAGAAGCATCAAGAATAGCATCATTCGACATACAGAAGGATTCTCCTCTTTTCGACACGTTTATCCCTGATCCCTCGCTTCTTCCGTCCACTTGAAAAGATTAAATAAACCCCAAGAATCTGTTAGGATACCGTCTTCTCAAATGTAAAAGCTGAGTAGTCCGTGCAGTCGGCTTTGCGCCTCATCACCTGAAGCGCACACTTCTCCGAAGTGCATGGCTTCATTCATTAAATGATAAACTCCTCTTCACATTTATCAAGCAATGGCTTTTAATAACACAACTTTAGCACCTTAGCGTTTACACTGAAGCACTACCTAAGCAAAATGTGAAGCACGAAGCCTATGTTGCACCTGGTTCCAGGGATCAAGTGCGCCTCGAGCGAGCCTCTGACAACACTTCAATTGTGCAACATTGAAGAAATTGTATGCACACGGTCGAGGGTTTTATGAACAGAATGACCATCAAATGTGCAAATATAGATGCATAAACAAGAAAAGAAAATTATACATGACACTACCCGAACTTAACCAACAAGCACTTTGATATAATCAAGTAATCAATAACCTAATGAACTCACCTCAGACTGGCCTTGCATGGAAGCAAGCAAATCTTTAACTGAGGGATCATTTGGATCAACGCCTGGAAGCTGTCAAACAAATGCAAAATTAAGTGAAAGTCACAGAAGAATATGAGGCGTGATCTTTCAGAAAAGCACATACTTTCCCCTGTGATACTCATAGAGTTTTGCGGACAGAAGACTTACTGAGGCAAGGATTGATGACACAAAAGATTGATCTGCCAACAGCTTACTCATATCTGTCTGACTTGACTGATCATTTGTGCTGTCCTGCACAGACAATTGAAGAGCTGCAAGCACCAGAAGAGTTAAGACAAATCAGGAGTGTCCAATTAAGAGTGAACCTTCATAAAATAACTACAAAGTATTATATGCAAGTATCAACATTTTCAAATAATTGAGGAATTTGATATTGCAAGCCGATGCCATATACAGCCTAAGTAACAGAGTCTAGTACAACCCCCTTTAACATTCAAAGGACCATTTTAGGACAAGAAAAGGAAAATAAAACATGCTTAAGAGGCATTTCTTCAGAAAATGTTATCTTCATAGACACTATACAATCCTATTCATTCATATAGGGACAGCAAATGGAGATTAGATGGGTGGTTTTTTTTCTTTTGGGCCGGAGGGGGAAGGGGGCTCCTCTCTTTCTTCAAACTCATTTTTTTCAAAATAATATTGTTTTCAAGGAGATTCTTAGAAATACATACACAATTGCAGGATTAGTTAAGCACATTCTACTAACCATATAGTCTATAAATCGAACAAATACTAGAAATGACGAGATGCAAGAAAACAAGGAATAAGTATTGTGACATGAACTAATCGCGATTAGGTATATTTGCTGACGGTTACAACTATATATCTATGAGATTGTGATGGGATACCAGCAAAGCAACCATTTAAGCCTGCATAGATCCTAACGTACCAAGTGCCAAGTCTTGATCTTCGGAAGCCGCTTCCGACATGTCAGTGTCTCGTGTAGCAACATTAGAGGAAGCATCATCCATCGACATTGCAAGGGCTTGCTGTAACAAGGCATTCTCATCTTCCTGCAAGAGATCCAATTATAATTCATGTTTTAGTTTCATCTTGGCTTCCAAAAGGCCAAGCATTACAAAGCCTTCAAGCTAACACTCACTTTTATTAAAGAAATTTCAACACAAGTTACAGGAAACAATATCCTCTGGCATAAACGTGAATGAGGTAAAATACAATACCGGAACAAAAATTACCAAGGTATTTAAGAAGGCTCAAGAAAACTTATCAGAACAAAGCTCAAGAAAATAGAGGATAACATGCAATTCCAAACTGATGTGGATCCACGGTTTGGTTAACCAATACAATCTTGCACATCCCACCTTCCCCCCTTGTTCCCTCAAAAAAGCAGGAAAATGCCAATAAACCCAACCCATCTCAAACTTAATTGATAGGAATAAACAAATTTAACTGCGTTCGAAAGAGCAACATCTTATTCTTCTTTTCAAGCTTTTACTCAAAAGAGGCAACAGACATGAAGATGACAAGATGACAGATAAGATACAAACCATCAGATCAGTTGCCTTGTTTTCGGGTTCAGGAGTTCCAGTATTGACATTTTCAGCCATAGTAACATCCTGGGAAGTTTCTCCTTTCTCTTGTGTAGCAGTTTCGTCTGCAGCCTTCTTTGCAGCTGCTTCTTGCCTCGCCCTTTCCTCCTCCATTGAAACTCGGAGTGCTAGAGCAAGTTCAGGATCCAAATTAGGATCTACACCAAAGTCAAACCCAGACACTCCACCAGCGGCAGCCGCTGCAGCTGCGGCTGCAAATCCACTTCCACCCTCACCATCACCAGTGAAAATAGGAGTACTGCCAATGCCAGATGAGGGATACAGTTTATTAAAGAATTGCTATTCACAAGTACATGTTATGATTTTCTTTTTGAGAATAAATTTTTTTTTGAGAATGATGGTCATATTATGGGTTACCTTATAAGCACATCAGAGAGAGCATTAGGACCAGCAGGAACATGAATGATGTGACTGCTCTCATTGTTATTAACCGCAGCAACTAGCGCCTCTAGCTTCTCAGCTTTCCCATCATCATCTTCACCAAAATTAACGACATCAAGAGCTACACTATTCTTCTTTAACTTTCTCCCAATCATCTCCAAGACCTTCTTGTCATATTTCACAGGGCTGAAAACACGTGAAATGTTAATAGAATGATCAAAAGTTGCAGCAGCAAAGATAATACAGAGAAAAGCACAGGGACATTACCTGCCAGCAAAAACAATGATCCTTTGTTGTTGCTTTTTGTTTTGCCGATGCTTCAAAGCTAACTGGGCTACCTGGATACCAGCAGCCAAATTCATCTCACCACCTATCTCTAATCCTGAATGAGGGGAAACAAGGCCAGGTCAGCAACTAAAAAAGCTTATTAGAAGACAAAAAGTTTGTCAAACACCCTAAGACTTGAAAGATACTTCTATCATGCATTAGTATAGAACTCAAGCACAAAATGGGTTTTGGAACTATCTGAGTAACCTTCTCCTCAAGTTGAATAAGTTAAGCTAATAGGTAAATCAAATTAATAATACATTAATGTAAATTATATTATGTGTCTTTTTGTGCAAAAATTTTGGAGAATATTTTCCAACAGACCATCACGCTCACGGCCGACCGAGCGCCCTACTTAAATCTCCTAATTTGATACTCTATTACGCTTTACAGATAAATGACATATCATCTCCCTCTTCCAGCCCATCCACCATATATCTTGTTCTTTCATTTTACTTGGCACTTCAAAGCTTCCTCTTTTCAGTACAGTAAATGCAGGACAGAGGATACTGGCAGAGAAGGCGTAGGAGCATCATTAGTTGCAGTTCAAAGCGCCCTCCAAGACTCAGTCATCTTTTTTCCTCAGATCGTCTTTAATTTCTTCGAAATAGGAAGAAGCTTCAATATTACACCTAAAAATCCAATATTTAAGTAGACGTACACAAGTAACTTATTTATTTTAGTTAGTTATCATCCTTATTTACAATATTTCCTTTTTGAAAAGGCATAGAACAAGTGATTGGCACCAGGGGAGGGCATTCGGGCAGTTCGGATTAAATATAAAATTTTGGTTTGGATTTTCGGTTTTCGGATTGAAGAAATGACAATCCAAATCCAATCCAAATAAGCTCGGGTTGGATCAGATTTTTTAAGTTCGGTTTCGGATTAATGGGGTTGGATATTTTGGATTTTCGGTTTTGAGCTTATAAGTTGGCATGTTTCTTCTTTTTACAAAAAAGAATATCCAAATGAAGTACTCATATTAAATTGCCTAAAAAGTTACTCATTCTCACTGCAATCATCCAAATAAAGCATTCAAGTAATGAAATTACTATCAAGAAAATGCAACAGAGACATTAATACGGCCGATAAGAAATAGTAATAGTAAAACCATGTCCAAATAGAAAGTATTCTGACAGTAACTTGGTAATTAATATTGCATATATGAAATAATATCTAATGGATAGGATATTTAACTTATTATTATTGAAATATAGATAATGGACTAAATATAAAGTATAAACTTTTCGGATTTTCGGATATCCAAAAATGCAAAGTACCAAATCCAACATCCAATCCGAAATCCAAAAAATATAAAAATTAAATCCAAAATCCAATCCGTAATCCAAAAATCCAAACCAAAAATCTAAAAAATTTGGATTTCGGGTTTGCCCAAACTATGCCCATCCCTAATTGGCACAATAAGAAGTTGAGCACTAACAAATCCACAGCAACAACCCCTTAGTCTTTGGAAAGAAGTTAAACAAGCAATAACAGCTATGCTAGCACCTCAAATGATATATTATCATAATCCTAACACATGCTCTCTTCAAATATGATGTGTTACACCCAAAACAGAGTTTGTGAAAAAAATAAACAATAGCAGCAATCTCAGTTCTTTAAGAGAAAGCCATTTTAAAAGATCTCCCTCCATCTCAGCTCTCTTCAATTCAAAAGATCTCCCTCCATCTCAGCTCTCTTCAACTTACCGCATTCCAGTTCTTTTCCTTTTTGATAAATAAGAATCCCCTGTGCTCACAGGTTTTAGTAACATCAATACCTAGAGCCCCAATATCTTCCAAAAACAGGGTCTAAAAAAACTTACAAAACTAGAAAAGTGATAACAATGGCCCTTAATGCAGGAAATTATCAAGAATATCAACACAATATAGGAATAGGGACTTACCGTGCATGCAAGCTAAGATTTTTCCAAGATCGCTGGTGGGAGTGACTAACACTCGAACTCCTTTACCGGCCATAGTCAAAATTCCAACTGTATTCTCAGGATTAGACTGAAAGAGTTCCCACATCAAAAAAGAGAACAGTAAAATACAACCCAATTGCTTTTCACTAAAAGGTAAATAGATCATCTCAATATATAACAAAAACCCTAGAAAGAGTATAACTTGAAGAAAAAAATAGAACACCTGGGTTTTGGCACCACAGATGAGATTAACTGCATCAGCTAGAGCTTGAAATCTATTGGGCGAGTAATCACCGTTTCGCATCCACTCCGAATTGTCGATGCAGATCATTGTCGCCTGATAGAAAAACGTTAACAGAATAAACCCTAATTTTAATTTGCTACAACATTATAAAGATAGAACTGAAATTGAAATACAAGAGCAAGATACTGACCTCGAGCACCATGATTAACGATTGAAGAAAGAGCCAACAATCAGAAGATTAAACTGAGAAATCGGTGTTTGTTCGCTGAAACTTGAAAGGAATTGGGTTTACTTGCTGAGGGAGTTGTTCTCGTAGCGTCCCACGTGGGTCGGGTTGATTTCCTTAAGAAACTGTTTTCTAAAGGCCCAATAGAAAGACCGGCCCTCTTTTATACCGTTTTCCAACTTGCAACTAGAGATAGGAACTAGGAAGTAGGAATATTTGAGTTAATTTTTGCTTATCAAAACAAAATCGGCTAAGTTGATTTATTAATCAAATCAAACTAATTGTTATAAATAGAGTTCTATTTATGCTGAATGTTTATATTTAATTATTTAGAGAGATTCTAAGGTTTATTACTTGGTGACTAAGTCACCATCTCCCTATAAATAGAGGGTTCTATACCCTCTATTCCATTGTAAATAATCCCAATTCAATAAGAATTTCCTCTCTCTTTTCTCTGCAATATTGCTCTTGTTCTTTTATTATTTTATAACACGTTATCAGCACGAGACTCTACCGTCTCAAGAAGCTCTTTGAGAAGATTAAGCAGATATGGATATCTCGCAAAGCAAACTTGGATCAAAGTTCAATTTGTTTAATTGATTCATGTACGACACATACAATATTCAAAGAGAAGAAATATTTCTCTCATTTAAGTATGTGTAAGGCAGATGTTACGACAATTTTTGGTAGTAGTAAATTAATTAAAGGCTCTGGAAGAGCTACTATAGCTCTGCCTAAGGGAACAATGCTTATCATAGAGAATGCAATGTTCTCCTCTAAGTCAAAAAGGAACTTGTTGAGTTTTAAAGATATCCGTCGAAATGGATATCATATTGAGACAATAGATGAGAATAATCTTGAATATCTCATCATTACCAAGAATGTCTCTGGCCAAAAGAGGGTTATTGAGAAGTTCCCATCTTTATCTTGTGGCCTGTATTGGACAAGAATTAGTGCAATTGAGGCACATTCTATTGTAAACCAAAAGGTTACTGATTCCAATACTTTTGTACTTTGGCATGATCGATTGGGACACCCTGGATCAATTATGATGAGGCGAATTATAGAAAACTCAATTGGGCACCTATTAAAGAATTTTAAGATTCTTTTAAATAATGAATTTTCTTGCACTTCTTGTTATCAAGGCAAGTTAATTATTAGACCATCACCAACAAAGGTTGGAATTGAGTTCCCTGCGTTTTTGGAACGTATACAAGGGGACATCTGTGGACCTATTCACCCACCTAGTGGGTCGTTTAGATATTTCATGGTCTTAATAGATGCATCTTCTAGATGGTCTCATGTGTGCCTATTGTCATCACGCAACCTCGCGTTTGCAAAATTAATGGCACAAATAATTCAATTACGGGCGCAATTCCCCGATAATCCAATTAAGTTTATTAGACTTGATAATGCTGCTGAGTTTTCATCCCAAGCTTTTAATGATTATTGCTTATCAATTGGGATAAAAGTGGAACATCTTGTAGCTCATGTTCACACTCAAAATGGCCTTGCAGAGTCTTTAATTAAACGTCTGCAATTGATAGCAAGACCGTTACTCATGAAAACGAGGTTACCCACTTCTGTTTGGGGTCACACCATTTTGCATGCAGCAATGCTAGTTCGTCTCAGACCGACAAATTATCATAAATATTTCCCGTTGCAATTAGTTTTGGGTCATGAACCTAATATATCCCATTTAAGAATTTTTGGATGCACAGTATATGTGCCTGTAGCACCGCCATATCGCACCAAAGTGGGTCCCCAAAGAAGGTTAGGAATATATGTTGGGTTTGAATCACCCTCTATTATTTGCTACATCGAAACATTAACGGGGGATTTGTTTACTGCACAATTTGCAGACTGTCGATTCGATGAGACACTTTTCCCAAAATTAGGGGGAGAAGTTGGTGAAACCAAACGGGTAATTTTGTGGAAAAATCCATCATCATCTCATCTTGATCCACATGCGTCTATTTGTGAAAAAGAGGTGCAAAAGATTATCCATTTGCAGAGAATAGCAAATCAAATTCCAGACGCATTTACGGATTTGAAAAGGATAACAAAATCACATATCCCTGAAGAGAATATTTCAATCCGTATTGATGTCCCTATTGGACAATCTTCTGGTGTCATAGCTAATGAGTCGAAAGCACGCCTAAAATATGGCAGACCATTAGGTTCCAAAGATCGAAATCCTAGAAAAAGGAATATAAATGATCAAAATGACACTACGAAAGAATCTCATGAAGAAATCCACGATTTAATAAATTCTGATATTCATGAGGAATCCACTAAGCCCGAGGCTCAAGAAAATAAGGAACTATCAATAAATCCAATCGATATTGAGACAAATTTGAATCGAATGGATATAGTGGTGGATTATGTATTTGAATATAATGTTGCATCTAGCATTATGCAAGAAAGTGAGGATCTTGAACCTCAGTCTGTTGGAGAATGTCGACAAAGACGTGATTGGCCAAAATGGCAAGAAGCAATCCAATCAGAGTTGAATTCACTTGCAAAACGTGAAGTTTTTGGGCCTGTAGTCCAAAAACCTAATGGTGTTAAGCCTGTTGGCTATAAATGGGTCTTTGTACGCAAGAGAAATGAGAAAACGAGGTACAAAGATATAAGGCAGGCCTTGTTGCACAAGGATTTTCACAAAGGCCTGGTGTCGATTATGAAGAGACATATTCACCCGTTATGGATGCTATAACTTTCCGTTATCTCATTAGTTTTGCTGTCCATGAAAATCTTGACATGCATTTAATGGATGTGGTTACCGCCTACCTTTATGGCTCACTTGATAATGAGATATACATGAAAATTCCCGAGGGATTCAAAATGCCTAACGCAAATAATTCAAAGTCCCGGGAAATATTTTCAATAAAATTGCAAAGATCTTTGTACGGTCTAAAGCAATCAGGACGAATGTGGTATAATCGTCTTAGTGAGTATTTATTAAAGGAAGGCTAT